GAATGCACAACCAACTCCCTTCTTGCTTTTTGAGCCGTCTGTAAATATAACCTTCCACCCTTTTAGGTCTTCTAAGATGTTATAGTACTGCTGTATATCGATGATTAAATTTCCCATATACCTTGGAAAGTACGTCTGGAGGATCCTAGTGTAGAAATCATGGTATGACGCCTCCGGTTTCTCTTGTACGCAAGGGGGCATGTTTATATCGTGAACGTAAACACAGGCAACTGCGAGTGGCGGCGATTTCGTTTTCGACCAAAAACTCGATCAAAGGACATTAACTTATAGAGGGTGTTGTGAATATCGACCAGATTTAATGTTTTAACCTTAGTGACGTATTTTACGGCCAAGTATTTAATTCGGAAGTTGAGTGGTGGTCGCGAGCTTCCACATACAGCGCCTCCACAGGTGTAGATTTCATTGCCCCAATACAATGTCTTAACGCTTTATTTTGGACGACTCTAATTCGTTGCAATGCTGCTTCGCTAGCTGACCCGTATAATTGAAGTCCATACTCTATTAAGCATCTCGTATGCGCTTTATATACCTTTCACGCGGTTGGCAGGTCCATTCCCCACCCCACTCTCGTCATCAAACGTAAGACGTTCAGTGATTTCTCACATTTTTTGGTCACCAGGTGTATATGTTCTGACCAATTTAATTTATAATCCAATATGAGCCCTAAATACTTTACACTTTTTACAAACGAAAACTCTAGTGTTGCCGCGAGACGAGACGAGACGAGACTTTCGAAAGTCTCGTCTCGTCTCGTTACCTCGAGACGAGACCAAGTCTGAGTCTCGTCTCGTCCTGGTTCAGTCTCGTCTCGTCTCGTCTCGTCTAGTCTCGTTTGGTCTCGCCTGGTCTCGAGACACTATCCAAATATAGTGTATGTAGGTAGAGCAATGAGCATATAGCATATAAAAGACCACGAACTACGAAGGCATGACAAGTAAATAATAGGAGTAATATAGTAGGTACGAGAGCCGGACGCATGGAACCAGTAGTGATAAGCTAACAAGATGAAATCTTTGTTACTGGATTCCTTGCAACTTGAATAACACAAAATGAGTTTTCTGTCAGCCTTTTTCTGGCCGGAATGTTATTAAAAATAGGCACTTCCGGTGAATTTTTTTCCGCAAATTAAACCGAAAACCAAACCACCTGAAATTGATAACCGTAGGTTGAGGGCGATGGGTTTTAAGGAAAAATTCTTTTCTACCGAGTTTTGTCCAGCCGGAAATAGCGGCAGAAGCGGATTAATTGAACTGTTTTTTTGTGAATTGCTATACTCATAACACAACAACTGGAAAATTCACATGCATATAAATTGAAAGTCACCTTTTCAGGAAATGTTGGTCTGCCTGCAGTTTTCCGGCCGGAAGTTAATTCTGCCAGCCCCTTAAATATCGCCGCGCGCTGCCGATTTTCGCGGCAGGCGCCGGCGGGCGATTCAAAAGTTGCCTAGTGACTGGTGACGTTTTGTGAACAATGTGCCAAAAATGTCATAAACTTTGTTATCATGATTGTCGCTAGGCAACGTTTGAATGAAGATGGCCTCCGTGTCCGTGGGCACAATTAAACAAGATATGTACGAAGAATCGCATACGATTTTCAGGGAATTTTTTGACAGCTCGTAATCGGAAACACGACTTCTAATCCGCAGTGATCCTTGAACTCGTAGAAATCGATTCGAAAAAGTTTATCTTTTTTTGTTCTCGATTTAGACTATTCCGCTAAAACAGTACAAATAAATACAAACAAATTCGAGACCAAACGAGAGTCTCGGCGAGACTCTCGACGAGACTCATGCTTAGTCTCGTCTCGTCGAGACGAGACGAGACGAGACTGAGTCTCGTCTCGGCGGCATCACTAGTGTTATCCAATGAAATTGGTTCAAATTATACTGTCTCTTACGCGAAAAAAAATTTTACCGCTGACTTGTCCACACACATATCTAGCCCATTACTGCGCATCCATATCTTGACTTTTCCAATGGCTTTACTGAGACGATCTTTTACAACCCTCTCATTTTTGTGTGCAGTGTAAATAATTAAATCATCTGCGTACTGTATGACATTAATACAATCGTCCAATGTATCCGCGAAGTCATACGTGTACAAGTTGAACAGAATTGGGCTATTTATTGACCCCTGAGGGAGACCTTCATCATACTTTTAGCTTTAAAAACAAATGCTTAAGCAACAAATTTTCTTTTACCATATCCAAATACCTAAAAACGAACAAGTAAATTTTTGTGTAAAGCGATTTATTGATCCCCTAACTGTATATAAAATTAGCAAAGCGATTATTTTCAAACTATTATGAGCAAAACACAGAGCTAACACTCTCGAAAAGAGAGAATCCGCATTGTAGTGAGTGTTTTGATAACGTTAGATACATTATTTGGTAAATCGCTGTTTTCTGGATGTAGCTTTTCTACAGAAATGTAAGGCTAACTTTTGTTTAAAGGTTCTAAATGTTTTTTTAACGAGAAATTTCCACTACGTAAGATAGTACACTTTTATGAATGTTTTTTCCGATGCATGTGCTGCGTATTCGCCGGAATAACTGTAAACAAAGCACGACGCCGGCCCGTTTAATTGATTTCTCTTCGACTGAATACGGTAAATGTTTTACGCGACGGTAATTCGCCTACCCTGAATAATTTCCAACATGACTACTTCCTAAAAGATTCAAAAAATGAAATCCAATTTGAGAGCTACCGTTACAAACCTTATACATACATTTTTGGAAGTACCTGAGTTCCGTTAGACCTGAAACACTTGTGTGAAATTAACTTCTAGTGCGTGGTTTTCAAAACTTCTTTGATATGATTATGACTCAATTATGACAGGGACGTGGCTATAACTGTCATAATTCCATCAAAATTTTCCTCTTAAGATTTCAACAGCATTAATTTTTGCAATGTCTGTCACTGTCTGTACCTCTTTCCTATTTCTTCAAAATCTTTACTCACAGAGAGAAGCATTTAATCATTTAATGAACCATGCTTCCTCTCAATTAGTCTTATATGCGACATTAACTATTCATAAATTACTATTGCCGTTGTACGTAACTGCTAATCAAATGAAATAAAATTAGTATATACAATGGGTACGTAGGTATATGTAGGTACTTGCGGTTGTATTAATACCTACAAGTAATGGAAACGGAATGTTCTCGAATAATCAACGTATACAGTTTGAGATTATTTCAATAAATGAAGGGAAGATTTAGGGATAATATGATAATAACTCAAACGCGTTCTACTAAGAACGATAATAATTTCCTATGGCGATTATATTGGCGATGCAATTAATCTATCCCGCCATCGTGTAGGAGTTAAATTGTAAGTCCGAAAACCATTTTTGTTCAAGTATAATACGGGACGCTTAAACTCGATCGTAGTATAAAATGTTATATTGGAAAATTTAATTTGAACGGCTTTTCGTTGAACGTGTCTAGTCTGGCAGCCCAATAAATATATCAGGCCAATTGATCTGGACTTTTTATCAAATTTTAACATCGTATTTTATTTAGGATTTAAAATTTATGATGGCTATGAGTGTAATATATAATATTGATATCCTCCATTATAAAACTGGATCCTAGAGCGAGTGTCGCAGTTTTTAGTATTATCGGAAAATTTCTATGACACTAAAAGCACTACGGAAGCTTGATAAATTTTAAGCTTAAAATGTAAACAATAACGTAATTTATCAAGGGAAGGTTTCAGGTTTTATATTGTTGTTTTATAATTGCGCAGATGTCGCATGATTATGTTTTAAATAGGTTTCGGTATTTCGTTGGATATTATATAGAATTAATTTTCATTTAAATTTGCAAAATTTCAACCGTTTGTATTCTTAATGAAAAGTCGGAAGTGCTGTTGTACACGTTTGCGTACGGAATCCTAAAGAGGAAACAATATCATGTGGCACGAGGGAAAAAATGCCTCAGAAACGAATCACGTTTTTCCTACTGGAAATTCTAGCAAGTTTCAAAGTAAATGTATATGCTCTTGTCAATCACATGCAACTTTATTGAGTTCCTTTTATAACAAAATGTTACACGTTTCGTAATTAATCACCATAATGTTTATGATGCATAAACGAAAGGTTGCATAACAGCTGCAGTATTTTCTAGGGGTGGTTGTATTTTCATCTTCAGGTTGGTTACGAAATAGCACTTTTACTGTACAATTAAATTAACGAACATTAAAAGGCTACACATTAAAAGTTCGACAACCCAATAGACTTAGCTCGTCCTCAGGGTCCAAGTGCTTTACCCCTGGGGTGTAGTTATTGGCATTAACCTTGCACGGCATGTCATTTATTAAGAATTCAATTTTTTGTTAGTTTGATTTACGTCTGGAATAGTTTTATAGTTCTGAATTTTGAAAAAAAAAAGTTAGAAATAACATTTAAAGTCTGTAGGTACCATAAGTGGTTGACCAGATATGCTCAAAAGACGGTTCTAGTGTCTCCTGTCTCCCCTGTATGCAGCAACAGTATACTATGCTAAACCCAGCGTTGAAGTAATATGCATAGACTTAGGATTTCGGTACGATGAGAATTTCTCAATTTTAGTTTTCCATAGCAAGTTGTCTTGACCGAATATGAAGTTGTAGTAGGATCGATCTTATAACGATTGGTATAGAGTTGGCGCTGTGTTTCCTTAAACCTGCCGAGCATTTGTGTTTTCTTATCTTGAAACTAATTATCTTATGCAGCGATAACACAACTTCTTATCTACGGCCGGAGATAAACTCTTACAAAACGCAGTTATTTGCCTGCTATTGTCGTACATCTTGTGCGGCAACATTGCTGCAGTAAAATAAGCATTTTTCCAAATTTCCAAATTTGTACAAATAAATAAAATACAAATACAAGTGCCGAAGCCAAATAAAACGTCTATTTAATTAGTCCAATTTAACACGATGGTATATAGTGTCTTAAACTTATCAATTCGAATTTAATAATTTTCTTTTTTAGATTTCCAGATCTGGATCAAAAAATGTAACTCTACGTGGGGTACGAAGAGAACTAACTGGGCACTATAAATGTGAGGTATCGGCGGATGCACCCTTATTCCACACAGAAATCAAGTCGGCGCATATGTTGGTAGCGGGTAAGTGTCGCTTTTTCCACTTTCGGCGAAATCCGACTGAAAGTTTCAGAGCTTCCCATCGATAATCCATCGATATCGATCGACCAAACGAAGGTCGAAATCGGGAAACAAATTCAAGCGGACTGTTCGGCGACCGGTTCGGATCCGGCAGCAAATCTAACATGGTATATCAACGAAGAGGAGGTAGGCTTCCACCTTTAGTATCTTTAATCTCAGACTGCCTTTTAATTAAGGTTACTGAAGATACGGATTACGTTAAGTTGTTTCCGATAACAGTGCAATCCGACCACGCACTGGGTCTGCATTCGTCCAGGTCTCGCATTGAAATAATAGCAAATAAATCTCATTTCAGCGGAGGTCTCATGGTACTTAAGTGTGAGGCGAACCTGTTTTCTTTGTGGCATGGGACTGCCGATCGTTTCATTAGGGACGAAACTCCTCAACTTGCTCCAGTTCTAGGCTCGACCTCCTCGCAAAGTCACACCGAGGACAACCAAGGTGAGCTAAATTCTGGAGGACACCATTTCTTTATTAAACATTTTCAGAGTACTACACCGGCATCGGCCATTTGAGTTTTCCCTCGTCGAGGTTAACGTGTTTTCTAATAATTCCAGTTTTCGTAAGGTAATGAATTTGAGTAATGTGTTACTTCGCGCTCGCTTCACTATATTGACGAGACTCTGAAAACGTGATAGTCGGACGTGTGTGAATGTTGTACACGGATGAGCAACAAAAGTGATCTCAATCATGAAAATGGCAATAATATTAGAAGTTAGTGTTAATGTAAAAAACTATTGCGTACCCATACCGAAACAATCAAATTATCGACCGCTGACTTTATGTTTTCTTGCGGATTTGTTCGCTGCATTTAGGAAATGGTTCTTACATTTGAAGTCTTTAGATAACTTATAATAGGTAATCAAAACCCATATTTTCCTATTTTGGAATGTTGCGATTTTCGCTAATGTTCCAAAATGAAAGTTAATTTAGTAAATATATCGAAATTGTTTAAATTTTTGTAGAACGGAGCAATAAATTATTTAAATGTAGATCTTTCATTACCTTGACCCGTTTAGTACAAGTTTCCCGAAACACTTCGCACAATAGTGCGAATGTATAAAATTAACATTTTCAAGTTATATCAGTTGAAAATGCAAATGAACGACGCGAAAAAAAGGATATCTTGTTAGGGAAAGTATCTTCTTACCTTCAGGACCGGTCCTTTTAAGACAAAAGGGAAGACCGAACTTTTTGCATTTCCTTAAGTTAACTTATAAATCTAAATTAACGAAAAGTTCAGTACTTCTATAATGTCTTCATTAACACCCTCGAGATAAAAATTTATTTTAATGTTAGAAGGAACGGATTAAATGATCCACTTGGAAATGTGGTAAATTAAGTTGGCACACTTTGGAGACTAAAATATATGCATTATTTGAATTAATAAGATGATAAGATTTGCTGTTTTAAAACTTTAACCGAAGTTACAAATTTAAATTTAAAAATTGTTTGAACTAAATTTTAATGCAATATCCTTGCTAATTACATTTCAGAGGACTTCATATAAAGCTTTTTAAAACAGAATTTCTCAACTTCGTTAAAAATCTCCATTCTTCATCTTTAGTGCATCTATAATTTATATCAAAATCTAAAATGTTGTATCTACGACCCTTCTGTACTTCTACACTCTACAAGGGTTGCAGAGCAATTCGCGACCTAATAATTCGTATCCAGACAATTCGCACCAGTATAATTCGATTCCTGGACAATATCGCACCCCCATAATTAATACCTGGAGGGCTCGAATCTTTCAAAAAAATGATTAAGAATTACCTTTACAGACCGCTTTATGAAAAATAGTTAAAATACGATTACAAGACACTTCTTTTCCCGAAAATACATTTGTTTATTGTTTACAGTCTACTTTGACGTTTATCTTTGTTCCATGGTGTACTAGCCACTTATGTTGAAAAATGAAAAAAAACACCAAATTAGTACAAAAAAAGCGAAGTTAAAAGAATACTGTACCAAAGGTACCGATAGCCTTAAATCGTTAGAAATCTGATGAAATGTTGCAGTTAATTAATAAAACTTTAAAAAATGCATTAAAATCAAGTTATCTATGAATGATCTTTTCTAAATTAGCTAATTTCCTAATTATTAAGTAAATTTACCTGACGAACAAAACAAAACGTAACGCATGACGCGCGTCTTGTAGGCTTTCAACGAACAGCAACTCGGCCTCGTAGATATCTCCATTTTACGCGGAATTGTCTTATCTCCATTAACAATTTGCAACGAAAACACGCAATTTTTACCGATTAAGTGCATTCGTGTAACAGACAATAACACAGCAAACAAATAAAAAGGGTAGAGAATAGCGCTGCACATAAAATATCGCGAAATAGCAAGGCTAACGTCTGGCACGGAGGCAATCGTATGCTAAAACTGTAATTAATACTCAATACGAATCAACGTTAAATTCCAAAAAAATACTTTACGATACACAAATAACTAATTTTATTCAATAGCAGTGCAATCTAATTAATTCAAAATATATGCGAGGAAAAATACAACTCGTAGACAAGTAAAATGTAAGAAGGAGGGTTAGCATTAAGTACTGAAAGTTACAAAACGCGAACTCTAGCAACAAGAAACAAGTAAAAGAAACTTCTAGCAGGAGAAGGGTCTGTAACGGCTAGAAGTGAAGTGTGTTAGTCAATTAGGTTAGAATTAAGTACATAAGGAAACACCTTTTGATATAAACGAATAATCATTTTTTCTATTTCGATGTGGAAACAATACCGAAACCGTACTTGATTGGTCCAGTTTGCGTGCGTTTCTAGACAGAAATGATGCTGAAAGAAATAGAAACGTATTATTTTTTTTATTTTGTTGGATTGGTACCCCTCGCTTTTTTGCCGTCATCGGTATCCGTCAAATCAAAACTAAACATAACCTGTAACGTGTAAATAAAGTACGAGAGAGGAATTTTTTACTAAATTTCAAATAAACAAACAACAATTTATTGTACAACTGTACAAGGGACGTGTTTGTCATCCGTATTCATCATAACATTCATAACTGCCGCAAAATGGAATTATGACCAAATAATTAAAAGTTTGAAGTTTGAAAATACAGGAATCAGGTTTGCCAACGTGAAAATAAATGAACTTTGTCTATTACCAACATACACTGAATGATAGTTTAAAATTACCTAACAACGCCTAAAGGCAATATTTATAATTTGTATAATTTATTATTTAAAAGTCGAAATAGAAAAAATAGTATAAAGCACACGTGTCATTTGACTACGCGGCTTATGCGGCAAACTACCTCGTGCGACAATCTTCGTCAAATGACACTTGTACTTTAATATACTATTTTTAAACTGTCACTGGTAAATAACGCTATAGTTTTGGTTCGAGCTGGAAATCTACGGAAATGGATTGAATGGCTTTACGTCATAACCGTTCATTTTTTTAACCCGTAAAGTATTCTTGGATATTCTTGAAATGATTTAGAGGAGGTATCACACTTTTAAGGGCACTGAAAGCGTAAAATCCATCTAGAAAGTTAGGTACCAAAAATTTTTACGAAGTAGACTGCATTTTGGATAATTTGAATGTGACGGGAGAGTAAAATGTCTTCAAGAATTAATTAAATTTACAACGCCCAAATCGAATATTTCACATAATAAGAGTAACATACACGTATAAGTTGATAAAATTAAACTGCGCCGCACAATATCCGCCCTCGCTACCGTAAGGTATGGAAGGAAATAATAAGGTTTATACAAAACCAAAAACCCTTAAAAGGTTGTGATATCCAATTATATTGTGATTGAAAGCCTAATAACCGATGGGTCGTGAAAGGGAGTACATTATTGATTTCCTTTTCTACAAATAGGACAACTGAAATCAGTTCGCTTTATAGGTTTGTTGATTGTTAGTTCTTTTCCTTTGTCGCCATATTTCAGGACCATACATTATGTAAGTACCACGCCACAATCTGAAATTCAATTTATTCTTGGTTCTGCGTGGCGTTACGACATTTCGTTGTCGAGTTTTCAGTTTCGTTCCGATTTTATTACAGTTGCCGTTCGTTACTTAATGCGGCAATTTCGAAGTTTTGATGTTTTCCCGTTTAAACTATGATTTAAAATTTAATTTCGAAACTGAACGTGTGTACTCGTCATAATACTTTTATCATTTATCATTGTTTTAATGTGATAATCATTCAAAACTGACAAACGTCAGTGATTATCGAATGTAAACTAATGGAAAAATCTGATTTTTCCCAAACTGTTCGTACCTATATAGCAAATTTGATGAATGATCGGTAATGTTTTTGGAAGGGATTTCAATAAGGCATTTTAGTAACGTTCAATATGATGTGTGCATCTAAATTTAAAATTTTGAATTTTTACGTATTCATATTTCACATATTAAATTTGAACCATCGAATCATTTACATAAATGAAATATTTGAACGTTAGAATTTATGAGTTCTAGAAGTAAAAATATAAAACGAACATGTTACTTGCACTGTTATTCCATATATTACGAAGGAAAATTTTGGTTGCGCTAACTTATTTTCTTTTCAACATTGAAATTTTTATGAAAGAGCATAGAAGTTTATGTATGTACTCGCAAGTCGCTATTTCGAATACCTTTTATTTTGTGTATAATCATAACAACCCCTGAACTCTTACGTTTCTAAGGGTTGCAATATGTAAACATAATTATCGTAAGTAATTGCACAAGTGCATCAAAATTACCGATAATTTTTTTGAAAGCATGTTGTCTAAAAACTGCATGAGTTTATTTTCATATTTTGGCGAAAGATCCCGACACCGAAGGTGGAGGGCTCTTTTAACAAAATATGAACATGACCGAATGCAGTTTTTTACTGACAACATGCTTGAATACAAAATTTTCATATATAATACCATAAGTAGTCGAAGTATTGTCGAATATTTTTGAGGTGCTGTCACGAATGCTAGTTACGCTGATTAATACCACGAGCGCTTGCGCGAGTGGTATTAAAAAGCGTAACTAGCATGAGTGGAGCAGCAGCTCAAAAATAATCTACGAATACTTCGACTACGAATGGTATTCGGAGGACTATTCAATGAATCAAAAGAAAAATTAAGCATAATTACCCACGCGAATGTATTTCCATGACAACAGTAAACGTCAAAATAAATTACGGAAGGAAGTTGCTTTTCATTTTGCTATTGATTCTATTCGAACTTTTGTGCTCCAAGCTAATTCGTTATGAGTGATTAAATTAAAAGATGTGGTGATAAGTCGGTTGTCGAAATTGATTAACAAACTAAGAAGAATGTTCCGGTTAATACGACAAAATTTCGCGACATTTCACTGGTGGAAGTTTGACAAATGTCATTGAATAATCGCATTGAATTGTCGCTGAAATACCACACGTGAAATTATCACTTATAATTGCACAAGAGGTTTGTATTTTACCGAGTAAATTTGGGTTGTTTAGGTAATGAAAATCTGTTGCCTAGCAATTAGACGAGAAAAACTGTCAACTAATAAAAATGCGACACCGCAGGTGGAGCATTTTTAGGTTGACAGTTTTTCGAGTCCAATTGCTAAAAGGAAACAGATTTGAATTGCCACAACCCAAATTTATTCGGTTTAAATACAAACCTCGAGTGTAATTCGGCAGGACAATTTAACGAACAAGAAATTCACCAAACTAATCAATTATTGACAGACGTCAAACTAATCATATGGGTAAGGATAATGCGATTATTGGTTCGAAAATGAATAAGTGAAAAAACCACTAGTGCATTTGTCGCTGGAAAAGTTGCAGGTAACTTTTGCCGCTGTCAAAGTGACAATTACACTGCGGCTTATGTGATTTTTTATACATGAGTTGAATTGTCGCTGAAATACCACACGTGAAATTATCACTATAATTCGTTCCCATTGGCTCAACAATTTGAAATCTCGACATTTCACTGGTCGAAATGTGACAAATGTTAGATGAATT